AGGTGAGGTCAAAGATCCCAAAGACTTAACTGGTATGTCGCGTATTTTAGATGTAAAATTTGTGCTATATGCATTAGTAAAATCTACATATCTATTTTTAAATTAAATTTATTGGGGTGATATTGGTTAATAAAATTACATAGATTTCAAGTGTAACCACATATGTATTGAAATTGGATCCTGGGGAATGGGAAAGGGTGCCGAGCACCAGGAGTAACTCCTTTTCTCAGAGAGGGAATAAGTATTTACCTGATTCTAGAGCACCAGGCAGGATATGAAGAAGGGAATAACCTATTGTTTGTTAAATTCACTTTTTAAAAAAATGAAAACAAAACCCAAAGGATAGACTGGGTGATAATCACTTATTTTTAAAATTAACCTCTACAATTCTTCTACACAAGTTAAGATCATTCAAATAAAAAATTACCAAGCATTTTATAAGTAACCTTTTAATAAAGGCTATTTGTGGTCATTTTGGTCAGGATTGGTCTTCAGATTTATTTATTTTTTGGTATATAATAATGTTCTTGGGGGTACTCAACTCCAAAATTGGTTTAGTTTTAAAATTAAAAGCCTTTGAATTAAATCACAAGGAAAGATTCAACACACAACACAAAAACGTTAGGCCTTTTTGGGTTGTGTGTTCACAGCAACACCATCCTAAAAAGCTGTGGTTGTTCATACAAAGTAGAGTCAGGAAATTCAACTTTGTGGTTCACTCTAAACAGATTACCTAGTTTTTTCAGGTCACTCTCCACTGCTGTGAGCTTGTCATCATAGGTTTGGCGAGATGTCTCCATGCCACCTGTAACATTGTCCATTTTCTCTACAACTAAGATTTGAAAATCAATGCATTAATACATATAACTGCTCAAATTTTATTTTTCAGTTTCAACAAGAGATAATTTCATTACAAAATAAAGGAAACAGATTGAAACAAACAGTATCAATGATATCATGGGGGAAAGCCACTCTTTCAGAAAAATAAGTGAGTTTATTTTTACAAGTGGTAGTTTACTTGTAAGCTTGAGAATTATATAATTTTAATTATTCTCATGATTCATTATTGCCTTGGATAGTATAGAAATTGTTTGAAACTATTTGTAAGTTTTTATATACATGGTCTGGCAGAAGTAATGCCTGCTAGAGTGTGGTTGATAGGATAATAATATGGGTGTAATAAATTATAGTTTTAATTTGAACATTTCACCTAAAATGTCATATAGTATGCTTGAGTGTGATATTATTATGTTACAGAATTATATACTTATGCTTTTGTAATAAAAAAGGCCATGGTTGGTGTGGCTGTGGTTTAGCGGATTCAGTGCTGGCCTGCAAACCAAAGGGTCGCCAGTTCAATTCCCAGTCAGGGCACATGCCTGGGTAGCAGGCCAGGTCTGCAGTAGGGGGTGTGTGAGAGGCAACCACACATTGATGTCTCTCTCCCTCTTTTTCTCCCTTCCTTCCCCTCTCTAAAAATAAATAAATAAAATCTTAAAAAATACATTTTTAAAAAGGGGGGTGTTATTTGTGCAAGACTCTATATAATAGAAGTCCTCAATCTCTACTGTTTCCTATACAGATGGTCTCCAACTCTATGATGGTGTGAAAGGGATATGCATTCAGTAGAAACTGTACTTGAAATGTTTTGAAATCTAAAGCTATATTTATTGATTTTAGAGTAAGAGAAAGGAAGGGAGGGAGTGAGAGGAAGGAAGGGGAGGAGGGGGAGAAAGAGAGAGAGACACTGATGTGAGAGAGACATAGATTGGCTGCCTCCTGAACATGCCCTGACCAGGGATCTAACAGGCAACCTCAGTATGTGCCCTGACTACGAATCGAACCCACAACCTTTTGGTGTATGGGATGATGCTCCAGCCAACTGAGCCACCTGGCCAGGGCTATAGTTTGAGTTTGGATTTTGATCTTTCCTGGGCTAACAATATGCGGCAAGGCACTCTCTTGTGACGCTGCTACAGCACCCAGCCACGCAATCACTAGGGTAAACAACCACTACTCTAGAGTGTATTCTGTGTATTAGATGATTTTGCCCAACTGTAATCTGATGTTAGTGTTCTGAGCACCTTTAAAGTAGGTTAGGTTTATTAAGTACATTTCTGACTTTTGATGGGTGAATTGGGATATAACCTGATCATCCTAAGTCAAGAAGCATCTCTCTGTATTAATTTCCAAAGAGGGAGTGATAACACTGAGATTGATTACAAAATTTCATTACTCATCACACTCCCAACCATACTGAGCAGGTAGGACTCATCTAGTAGGAGATTTCATGGCAAAGAACACCTAGCTCAAGTCAATATACAAAGTCTTTGTAGAAGGGATGCAAAATCAAGAGTGTTGCCACTTTCTGTCTTGAGTTTCACCACTGAGGCCTGAAAATCTGCTTCTCCTTAGTGACAGGTAAATCTGTAGTTTATCAGTTCCCAACTAGATGCCTAAATTTACAAAGAAGACTGTCAAAAGAGCATTCTCTTGATTACACATGATAGGGTAAGTTAGTGATGAAGTGTTAAATAAAAGCTTCTGTTATTGCTTATTCTTGGGAGGCAGTAATTCTCTGTGATTATGAACAGAAACTCATCATTTTCAAATGTCTAATAATAGTGTATTTATCTAAAAATGACTTCTGTGAGATCTAACCTCTAGCAACTTTGGATGAAATCTGACTGTCCTTTTTGCTATAATAGCTTTTTTATGACAACTTTATTTTTTTAAGCTTGACTTTTGTATATTAATTGTGAGCCAGTGGGTCCAATTCGTTTTGTTGATTGTGATTTTGAGAGAATGTTTATTAAAGCTGGGGACAGTTCAGGGTAGAGGAAACAACAGGAGGGTCTAGGAAGTGCTCTACTTTGATGCTCTAGAAACATCATAGGAAAGAGGTGAGCCTCAGTGAGGCTGCCGTCAGCTCGCTGAAAAGTCGGAGAACAGGGGACCTTGGAGACAGGTTCAGGGGGTTAGCCTGGGATCAGCAGATGCTTGTTGCTCCCCTGGTGCAAGTCCCATGGGGACCCTTGGAGTTAGGGGAGAAAAGTGAAGATGCACGCCTGAGAGGGAAGAAAGGCATGGGTGTGCTCCAGAGAGAGCCTGTGGGCCCAGTTTATTTTATCAAGTGTGCCACCCACACATGATTATGTGAGAAGATTCTGCTGGCTTCTATCAGGAAGTAGAAGTACAGTCCTCTGTGTCTGCATGACCTGAAGTGAACCAGCTTGCTGGCTCCTGGCACCTTCCCTGGAGACGCCTGTCATGCTCTCCCCTAAACTTCCACAGTCTGGCCATAATGACATGTGTGCATTGCACCAAAATGCTTTCTCATGCTACCCTTACCACATGTTCTTTCCACCTCGAATGTTCTTCCCTGGCCTCTTCACTAAGATAAGACCCACTTCCTCTTCAGGACTCAGCTCCTCACTTCCTGTGGGAAATCTCTGCTGAAATACATCTTGCAGAATTCTCTTGGCAAGTAGTCCCTTCTCTGTAACAGAACTTACTTCACTGTCATCATGGCTTCTTTACTGTAAGGTCCTCTAAGGCAGGAATATTTTGTATTCGGTTTTATCTGCAGCTCTTAGCTCAATGTGTGGTACTTATAGGTGTTCAACACATATTTACTTATGCCTTTTATTTAAATAAATAAGACTCCGCCTTCTCACTGCTGAGGCCTGTGAAAAAGTGGCTGAGCTAAGAGGGCATGCCAACAAACATACCTGCCAACCCAGCCTGGGAAGCCCTACCACCGGCAATGAGTGTGACATCTAGTTGAATAATTACTGTTTTTTAAAAATGACTACACAGACAGGGGGCTATAGTTATGATCATCTGTACCTTAGGGCTGTTGGATGGGTACGAATACTCCTAATCCCTGGAAACTCTAAAGAACAAAATGTTTCATTTGCATTTTAGCAAAGCTAAACTTTTAAAAAATAAAATAGGGGATGTTTGTAAATTTAAATTCAGTTCTGATCCTCAAATCAAAACATATGCCTCCGTCTGTCCTCAAACCACACACAGGATCTTAAGTCCTGCCCTTTATTTTCTTTCCTGGAAGCCAAAGGAACCTCTAAATATGCTGACAAGCTGTCATTTTCTATCCTCTCCAATTTTTCTTCCATTTTAGTTTAAAAAACATAGAACTGTCATACAGATAATTCAGATTTCCACAGAATAAAAGGAATAAATTCATTCATTAAAAAAATCCTGTTAATTTTCTCTTTGGTACAAGGAAACGATCTGCCCTGCCCACAAGCGCTAACAAGCTGGTTCCACGCACTGGAGCCTGAGTCTGTGTTTAAAAACAGGATCTGGGTATAAAGCTATAGTTGCAAAGCTGGCAGCTCCCTTCTGCATAAGAAGACTGTGCTGATGGAGATCCAGAACCCACTTGCTGTAATAGCACACAGCATATTCATTGGTTTTTACTCTTACTAGTACAAATTCTAAGAATGGCAAAGCCATCCTTCCTACCCTAGAAGTTCCCAGTCTGTAGACTTCAGTTTGTAGATTGCTTTCATGTGAGGAAAACAAACATGAACCACAGAAGGGTTACTAGCAGTCTGATTTCTCACGGGCTCCCTTTTATTAGAGACTGTTTCTTGACAGAGAACTCTTCTTCAGAGTATCAGTGCCTTAGGTGTTCTATCTGACGAGCTGTCCCCCTTCAAGTACCCAAAGCCTAATCATTCTCTAGGATAATCTGACAATAACACCTTTTCTACAAAGGGACTGGGTATCATTTCTTGGCCTGGGCCACTAACCTCCTCTTCCCTTGTCTTGATTTTAGCCCTCTTTTAAGATGCACCCCAAATCTCTTCACCCTATTGTGCTAAGACTTCCCTGACAATTTGATTTCCATTCCACACCAAATGAACTTTTATCCAAATGGCAATAACAACAGCCTCTATTTATTGAGTACTTACTCTTTTGCAAAATGCACTGTACCATATCTGCAGCTAATCCTTACAACTCCTATTTCACAGATGAAGAAATTGAGGTTCAGAGATGTTCAGTATCTTGCCCAGAGTCACACAGCTTGTAAGTAACTAAGTGGCCAGGAGATCTGACTCCACAATCCATACTCTCTCTATAAGTCTATTGCCTCCCACTTATGATTTCTTTTTTTCTAAATAAGGTTTTCTCTAATAAAAATCTGAGGGTAGAGATTATATCTTATTTGTCTTCTCTGTACAGTCATCATCCTCAGATGTTTACCAAGCATCTGCATGTATGTGTCATAGTGTTAGACATTAAAACAAATGTTCATCCAGTCTTCGGGGGAAGGGAACAAGAGCAGAGCACGGAGTTCCTGCCTGGTACTCATGAGTACCTGTACCAGACTGATTGTGGTACTAAGGGGAAACACACCCCCTCCTGGTACCAACTGGTACCAGGTACCAGGGGGTACCTGAGGAGGTATCAGTTGGTACCTGGGGCTTCCCAGTAATACCAACTACACTTCCTGAGAATGCAATAAAGACATTTCTACTCTGAACACTGTTTTAGATTTTCATCACAAACATGCAGAAGATACTGTTGTGGGATGTCTAACAACAGGTACACACTGATTTGATGCATGTTTTGAAGGCCTATTTGGTCACTGCTACTTTGGCAGAGCTTAGCAGCAAGGTAGACATTCTATGACTAGGAATGTTGAGTTAAAAGAGACCCTTACTGAGAAAGATTCAGATTTCTTTTTTTCTTCTTTATCCTAGTTACCTTAAGATGGATGCCTTGTGGGCAGGACAATTGAGTAGAATTTTCTTACTCAGGGAATATTTTGGAGGAAACGCAACCTACTGAACTGAAGAGATGGCTTCTGCCACAGAAGCACCATTGATGGTTGATGAAAAGCCCAGGGCAGAGGATGCACCAAGCTGTAACTGTCCGAGAATATACTTTTTGTAAAGCAGCTGATGAGACTCATGGTCACAGTTACTGTACAGACCATCTGGGTGATTCAGAAGTCCTCTGATTTGTTCAGCAGATTCTCTAGAAGGAACTTAAGTGATATCCTAACTGGTCGCAGTGTAAGTAACACAAAGGAAGTAAAGAACATTTTGAGGAAAACAGATGGAGTTGTCTTTGTTAACTCCTGTAAGTAAGGAGTTTCTATTTTATTCCCTTTTATATTCTTCTTCAGAGAAATATCCTCTTTCAGTGAACATTTTTCTTTTTTAATGGAATTTGTTTAGACTTCAAAGGGAGTTGTGTGAAGGGAAAACTGGGTCTTATCTTTCTGCCTCTTACATTGTGGAGTCACCAGCATCTTATCAGCAAGAGAGGATTCACTGTTCAAGAGAAAACACATCTGGAAAATATCAGCATTTTAGTTCATTAAGGCTGTTTGAACACCGAAATTACATGTTGTATTATCTTATTTTTGTTAGTAGAGGCCTGAGGGATGGATACTTTGAAAGAGGGAAAGACGGGCAAGACAGTCATCTTGCCTCCTCTTGTCTTGCTCTCTCAGTCTCTTCTCCCCTCCATCCTGGTCAGGTCACACACTGCAGAGCAGGCCAAGCCAGTCCCCGGGTTTTAGGTGTCTAGTTGAGCTTTAAAAGTTGCTGTAATTCCCTAACAGCAGACTGGCTTAGAGGTCCCTGGCATTGACTGATTGCCTTTAGAGATATCGGCCCTAATTCACAATCCATCTACTTATCCATCCTCTCATTAATTCATTCAGTAAAGTTTACTTGGTATCTATTAAGTACCATGGGGCAAGGTGCCAGTGGGAGATATACCAAATAAAACATAGTCTCTTGTGTTCATGGAACTTACAGTTCGGTGGTAAGACAGACCAGCCCACTGGTGGCCATGATGATACAGTGTGATGAGCTGAAAGTAAATAAAAGGTGCTGTGGGAACAAACAGGAGGGCACCTAAACCAGTGCTGTCGGGCTTGTTGTAGGACATATGAGACATGTAGGGAAAGGAGGAGTCATGTAGGTGGAGAGCAGAGAAAAGGTTTTCCAGGCAGATGGACCAGCACACACAAAGCAAACCAGAGCCAAGAAGGGCTTTCCGATGTTATAATGGAGAAAATATATGTGCTTTAAAATAAACAACAACAAAAAAAGAAAGTTAAAAAAATTCTCCTTTGGATCTTTTTGTATAATTCTGAAGGCATAAAGATCCTACACCTTATTTCTTTGTGGAAAAATTACAAAATACCATATGCTGGTATGCTCTTCAAACCTTTCTCATCTCTCAGTAAATGTTTGCTTTCATGATATCACAGAGTACTGAGCCCTAAGGATATTTATTAAATGACTGTTTGATTCCAAGTTTCTCCTTTATCTGGGTTTGCTAGGAAAAGTCATGGAGGAGTGATAATGACCTAAATAACCTAGTAAAGGAGGAGAGTCTGAATTATCTAGGACATAAAAATCCTCCTTTCCCCCATTTGGGCTCCCTTCCCCACCTCTGTCCAGCTCTTGCACTGATTAAATAGCCTGGCTTAATCAGTTGCTTTGTTAATCTTAGGCTAGATGAACTAATCACAAGTGAACAAAATGACCTGGTAATTTCCCAAATTTCCATTGCTCAAATTCATCACTCAACACACTACAGGAAGCATACAACTTTTCCATGTGTATGTCCCTAGAGTTGGGACTTAACAACCTTTGACTATACTGAGTATTTTTTAAATGTTTTTCCATTCTAATGGCTATAGCTGTAAAAATGCAGTTATGAAGAAAAAAGTAACAGGAAATATAGCCACTTATTTACTGGGACCAACTATAGGACAGGTGATTTAATTATACCATCTTTGCTCATCCCAATCACTTTGAAAAGTGGCATTATAATTGTCTTTCAGAGAAACTGAAAACTCTGAGAGGCTGTGATTCATACCCAGGTTGCACAGCCTTGCAGAGGACTTGGCATGATGCTTGGAATGTCCACGAGCACTTAAGAAACACTCACAATTGCATTGCAAATGGCAGAATCAAAAATTGATCTAGGACGGTCTGGCTCCAAAACCCGTTCTCATTCCAGTACACTGTGTTTCCTCTGGAAACCACTAGACACTGGGAGAGAGGTAGGAAGAGTTACAAGTTGGAGGGAATTCATGTGGACTGTTTCTCTTCCTAGGCCAAGTCTACAGCCCAAGGAAATGAGAAAGGAACATGTGGGATTCTCCACTGTCAATCTGTCACTTCTGAAGGAAGGCAGCTGAGATGGTGGCTAAGTGGAGGTTTTGAAGATCAGCAGATCCCACGTCTGCCTCTTGCTGAAACCAGATGATACATCTGTCTCACGTGTCTTTGATGGGAAGGCTTCCATGGCTATTTTCTATAAGAGGGTTTATATAGTTCATGATTCTGCATCATGACACCTTCTACCCTTGGTGTCTGGAATGGATACAGGGCTTGGGGATGGGGGGCCCCACTTTGTCTTCAAGTTTGGAGGATTCAGGCAAAAATCCACCATTGACCTTAAATCAGACACATTGAAAGAATGTCTAACATCCCACACAGTATAACTGAGGTAGTGGTGCTATCTCTGTGTTTAATTTCTATGGGACAATATTTTTATGGAGGTATACAAACAACAGCGACCACAGTAAACACGTTGAAGAGAAAAAAGGGGAATTAGTGGTCCAGTCACTCTGTGAAATGCCCTATCTCTGGAGATCTTGTGTTGGCTTCAACGTAACTTTCCTTTGTGTTTACTCCAGGGTTTCCGCAGGGCCTCTTAGAGATAAAAGAAAGACAGAGGAAAAGGGAGTAGCTGGAAATAGGCAGGAAAAAAGCAAAAAAGAGGAAAAATCTTATAGTATCTCAGAGAGGGTCATTGTTATTATTATTATTAAAATGAGTTGAAAGGAATTGCTATTTTCACCTTTCAGATCCTACTGCTACAAGAAGCTAAAGATGTAAAGATGAAGTTTAGGATGTTGGTTCTGCATCCCAGTTGTACTCATGAAATACTTCACATTTGTAAACATGGGTTTTTATCATGTTAATGAAGGCACACTTGCTATTGGGAAGGAAAAAGGCAAGAGTACTTACCTTTGTATCCCAAAATGGCTACTGTGATTGTTAGCAAGGCACACAAAATGTATAATAATATGATAGAAAACTTCAGTGCCCAGTTATTTTTACATTTGGTACATTGTGTTCCTTCCTGAATACCTGTAAGAGAAGTCAAATTTTAATAATAGTGAGCAAAAACACCACTTAGAAGAGTATCCTCTTGCATTTGGTTCGAATGTTATGATTAAATATAACTTTTTACATATGCCTTACTACAGGATGAGTTGTATTTTAATATTAAACATACCACTTTGGCAACACAAGCAGTTTAAATATTACCATGTTGTTATAAATGTATTTAATATGACTTGAAAATAACACATAACTGTTTCATAGAATAGTTTTGAACCAAAATCCACTCTGATAATTACAATTATAATTTCAATAAAAAATTCTACATGAAAAAGTTTAAAATACCCAAATCTATTTGTTTCAGCCATTATTGAATCTATGGCAATTCAATCATAACGAACCAAAAAAATTGTGCCTTGTCCCTTGATGTTTGTTTCAATGAGGCACTAGAGCTGGTTCCTACTGGTTTGAAAAAGTCTACTGTTGAATTTGTCATTTGAATCTGGAAAGCTGATTATCAAACTGTTGGCAGCTTGAAATCAGTCTTGGAGGGAGTATTTATACCATGAAAATTGGCAAGGACTACAAATTATGATCCCACCCCCTGCTCCTAAAATAGTGTCCCAGCATGCCACTGGCTGTAAATGTTCTATAACCTAGAGCAGAAATATAAGTACTTTTATTATTAAAATGCTCAATTTGTAACCATTTTATATAATACATATATATAGAAAACTGATGCTGACCCTTATTTATCCAATTATTTAAATAAGAATAATGAGGATACCTAGAAAAATCAGATCTTTTTGATGATAAGGTAAATGTTGATTGATCACAGTTCAACTTTGTGAAAACTATACTAATCTAAATAATAAACTGTCATCACTTCTGCAAGTGACTCCAGAAACTAACTCACAAGAGGGAACGTCCCATCGGATTGATTAGAAAACCAGAAGACAAAGATTGTGGATATTTTCATGTAGAAATCACATTATAAGGAGCACTAGGTGATTCCTTCTTTCCCTGACCTATTTCCCAGTGTCTTACTAACAGTATCCCTCAGGAGCAACAGCACATAAAATACTCATCTTCCATAATTGTGCTCAATAACTGTTGATGAGTAGGTTGCAGGGATTAAACCACAGCCAAAGTTTCTCTCCTTGGGTTTGTAATTTCATGCATAGCACCCTGCTTCAGTGAGAAGAGCTCAGCTGTGTTTAATGCAAAATGATGAGAGAAACAGCACAGAACAATGACTTGAATATAACTTCCAGGGTTTAACCAATGTCTCCGGTGTCCTGGGCCAGAGACCCAACAGGAGGGGGCTCAAGTTGTCCCATGACTCAGAGTAGTGATTCTCAAACTCTGGGTGCATCAGACGCATTTGAGGAGTTCATTAAAACACAACATTTCTAATTCAGGAGGTCTGAGAAGGCACCTGAGAATCTGGACTTTGGCATGTTCCCAGGGGATGCTGATACTGCTAGTCTGGGAACTATGCTTTAGAGTGCTTCTCAATTAAACCACAAGGTGCTTACGAATCCCGCTGTTCAAATGCAGATCTGATCCAGTAGGTCTGAGATAGGAGTTAAGATTCTACATAAGATCCAAGTGATGCCTGGTCAGAGAGACATACTTTGAGGAGCAAAGATCTAGTTTAGATGATGATCATGCTGGATCAACCTTTTGACCAGCCAATTTCTTGAAAATGGAGCTTTACACTCAGACTCACTGATCAAACAGACCTGGTGTAAGTCAGCTTTTGGCACCATGGTTTTCCCATTTCTTTTACTTCTTTTTCTTTCTGTCCTCCAAGATTTTAATTGCCACCTGGATGTCTCAGCACCACCTCTCCTGTCCAAAACTGACCTTGACACTAGCCCTGTCAAAACAGATCTCAAATTTTCACCCAACCTTCTTATTTCCATTCAACCTAAAAACTCCTACTCTCCTAATCTCCCAGGGGCTTAAACTCAGAGACACCGTGAAGTCTGCTCTTATACTTAATCTCTAATTCACTCAGTCACTAGGCTGAGCTAACAAATCTTCCTGTGGGATATTTTTATCATGATCATATCTACAGTTTACTGGTGTTCACTTACTGCTTATACTGTACCAGGTGCTTTACACACAGCATCTTCAATCCACATAATAACCCTTCAAGGGAGAAATGGTAGTGAGAGCAGAAATGGCATTCCATAGACATCACAGCCAGGATTCAAACCCAGGTCTTTCTGACTCCAACAGCCACGATCTCTCCACTACATTACAGGTGCCTCTCACTAGTCATTATTCCCTCTCCATTTCCTCTACCATCATCCCAGTGTGAGATCCTTTAATCTCAGTGGAAGCTTCCTCTTTCATTCCCACTGGAATCAGCCTCACCCTGTGCTCAACCACTGTCCTCATGACAATGCCAAAAAGAAAAAACAAAACCAAAACAGCTTTCAACAGCTCACCCTGAACTAAAGGATGAAAACCTCCCCTGCACACCACCCCCCGCCATTAGCTCTTAGACTCTTCATAATCTGGCAGTTTAAAATGAAACAAAAACTCTTCAAATCTAGTTCGAGTAAAAATATTTTTGGAATTTTGAGAGGGAAAAGTACAGGTAGATGCATGAACATACCATATTTCACGTTCAGAAACAATGAGCTTGCTTTGGTAGCAGCTATGGAACACAGAAGGATAACATAGGGATGCTGACAGGCCACCTTTGGAAAGGACGGATGATCCTTTTATGGTTGACGGGAGGGTTTCATTCCTTCTGGATTTTAGGACCATGGTAGAAGAGCTCTTTATGCCTTTCCAGGGCCATTTCTTACATTCTACTAGAAGAACCTCAGAAGACTTGATCAGAGCAGAGATTATGGTAGATAATAAAATCTGCCACTAGAAGGTTCCTTAGAGGTCATCTGTTATTGATGGGGCAAGTTCGGCTGATGAGGTAAAGCAAAATCTGATGCCACATGTCCTAAATCCCAATGCAGGGCCACGTGTGCTAGCTCTGTGTTTGCCATTGAACATCTTGCACACGTGGCATTTGTGCAGATCCACTCCCAGACAGTTGACACTGGTTCACATTCTGAAGAAAATTTACTTCCTCGCAATGCATTTCTCATCGCTGACTGTATCAGCATTTAATCAATATCAGATGGCACCACCTGACCTCCCTTTCCACTTGACCCACTTTTTCTGTCTTGTTTTTTCTTTCCGCTCCCAGACTTACTTTTAATAAGAATTCTGTTTTATCTTTCTCTCTCTGCCCTCAGCTGGGAGGACATAGGAATGCCTACTACAAAGAGATCCTGCTGGCTCACGTAGCTGGAGGACCCGTCCTCCTTGAACCTAGATGGTCACAAAAAACATTCAAGAGAGATATCCCCTGGTTAGTAGCCTTTGTAGTGTTTGTTTTCTTAGCATTACTTTCCAGAGACTGGGGACTCTGTTCCCATTGGAGGGGGTAGGGTAGGAAGAGCAAGCAAATGGATCTGCAGAGTGCTGTGGATAAGAGATTCTAATGCAGGAAGTGAGGTGGTTTTGTCTTTTACCACAGAGAGAGCTAGCTTATCAAAAAAATGTGGCCCAAACAGCACATTTGTTATTCAACAGGCCACAGACTGAACGTGCCTGAAGGTTCCATGCCTATTGGTTATCCCTCTTGAACTACCTCCTATTGGATTTAATTCTTGGCTCACATCCTGAATCTATTTTCCTGTGTCCAAGTCTTTATTATACAAAAAAATCCTAGGGTGCAAGTGAAGCCAAAATCACTCTGGTTAACTCATTGAGTATGCTATGGACGTTCAGAATAGGCTGACAATAAGGTCCCCGGTGCCCAAACTCAAAGTTCCCTGTGTTGCTCTGTTTCCAACATATGTTTAAAGGAAGAAGAACGGGGATGGGATGGGATGGGGCCCCTGGTCGGAGGCGTTTAGCCAGTTGAAGAGAATAATTGAAACACTGTAGGAATGACAGTGCAGATGGCCAGAAGAATTCTCCAGCAAGGAGAATTCCTTTCTGCTGTGGTTCTTCACACAGAGCCCTCCCAAGTGCTGTGGGCAGGCTCTAATCCAGTCTATTTTTCCAATCTTTTAGGAGAACAAAAGAGTTTCCTTCACTATCACATTTTTCTGCCATGTACATCACCAAAGGAAGGTTTGTCTGTTAAAATGGACACAGGCTTGTTAGGTTAAGGCTGGCACTTATGGGCTAGTGGGGGTCACTTCTGGGCTGTCATAATTATTTCGAGTGTCTAAGGCTGAGTGTGTTGCCACAAAGATCATGTTACCAAGGAAAAGCTTCAAAAACCTGGTAGGCTACAAAATCCAGAAAACCACAGGTTTTGATCTGACTTTTGCAATGAACTTTTCTTGCGGTTTTTTTATAGTTATTAATCTACTGCCTGATGGCATATATTCCCATAAACCCATGAGAATGATTTGGCTCTAACAGTAAAGCTGATGATTCAAATAAATTCCTATAATTAGAATGCCCTCAAAAGCAACAAAACAGTAAGAGTTAACATCCTGGTTAGTTATTTGGATGTTATGCAATAGTTCTAGAAGAAAAGTATGTAAATATGTAAACACTTTATTAAGTTTTTCTTACTATAAAGACCATTTACTAAATGATGGGATATTTGACTTAGTTAAATTTTTTTATATTAATAAGTAATTTAGTTCCCCAAATACAAATCCCAGCCCTGAACACCTTACTGTGCCAAGTTTCCCAAACAATGTGGAGAATCATAAAAATGAAAGCAAGACAAGAACTGGCCTTGACATACATTTCTGTGCAAAATAAATAAAGCCTCATAGCATCTCTGTATTGAGAAAGATGTACTCAAATTAGAAAAATTATTTAGAAGAGTTTTATGAATTTGAAATCTTCAGCATTCATTCTGAGCCT